CTGCCCACCACGGGTATCGAAACCCGGATTCTAGCGTTGCAAGTCCGCAGACATACTGTTGTGCCACTGGGGGGGGGCGACTTCGATAAGTTAAACCATTCCATAGTGGAAAGTGTTTTACAGACAAGCCGAACTTTCTGTTGACTTCATTAACTATTCTGTAACAGAAGTAGTTGAGAAACTTCAGAAACCATACGATTAAAATCGGAATTCAAATCAGTACTATCTTGTTATACACCCTATTATTATGGAAACACACAAGCAATACACATACAGGAGTAATTAACAAAGATTAATGGCAAATAGAGGGCGGATCTACTAACGTTACAAAACATGTATAAGAGAAATGAATAAATTGTATAATGTATTAGAATTTTGTATTCCAATGCTTTATACAGAGTTTCATGTTGTACAACTGGAAAATTGTTTGTTTGTTTTTCAAATGCGCGCGCGTGTGTGTGTGTATTTTCGTATAGTAAAGCCACATCGGGTTATTTACTGTGTCCACCGAGGGGAATCGAACCCCTGATTTTAGCATTGTAAATCCGAAGACTTACTGCTGTCCCACTGGAGGACTTTTCAAATGCCCAGTATTATTCTTCATAATTCAGCTAATTTGTATGGGCGCTTTTTGATCATTCTAGGTTTTAAATAAGTCCATGAAACCTCAAGACGACTAGCTCAGATAGCCCTTTTCTTCAAGTTTCAGTTTTAAATCCTTGAAATATACCCTGACTGTTCCTCCTATTATTTGCGGTTATTACTCGAAAAATAGAACAGCGAACCTCATAATATCGTGCTTGTTTGTCTTGTATATCTGATGTGAATAGCATACCTCAAAGCTGAATGTAAGAACTGTATGTTATGCCAGAGATAATTCTGTATTCGTTATGTGGACACTGAATTAGTGTTCCATTCAGCAATCTTTGTTTAAAATATATATTATATCATTAAAAGAGTATTTGTTTCTTATTAAGAATGTTCAGCGACTCAAGGGAAAAACTGAAGAAAAATATTCTTCTTGTGATTGGCAAGCTCCTCCGAACTAAGGACTTTTCATCAGGAGACCTTGTGGAGACGTCATTAGACAATAAACTAAAGGTAACTTGAGATCCTATTTTTAGAAGATAAAAACGAAATACAAATGGGCAAACTATAAAAGCAAGACCTTAGAAAAAAGAAACCTTTTTAAAGAAATATGTTGTGAAGATGTTAATGAACAGTTGATGTTGAAAAATAAACCGAGAGCTCTTCATTTGGGCATTTAGTTAAAGTATTCCATTAAATATAAGTCTATAAGAATTCATCGAAAGTTTGTTTGTTTGTTTATTGAATGTTGCGCAAAGCTACTTGAGAGTTATCTGCGCTATCAGCCTCTAGTTTTGAAGTATTAGATTAATGAGAAGGCGCCTAGTCAACATCACCCACTCCAACTCTTGGGCTTCTCTTTACCAGCTAGCATTGCGATTGAACGACACATTATAACGTCCCTACTGCTGAAAGAGCGAGCATATTTGGTGACAGGGTTCGATCTCCCGACCCACAGATTGCGAATCGAGCAATCTATCAACCAGAACTTCATCGAAAGATAAAAAACCATGTCAAGTCATGACATACGTAGTATATCAAAAACCAGAATGATTAATCATAATTGAAATTCTGCTGAAAATGTACAGTAATGAATCAAAAAGCTCTTAATTATTAATAATTTTATATAGTTCTTGAATACAGCTGTTGTAGATAGATGTAGACGGTTTCAGTGTATTTATATACATGCTCAAAGTCATCGCTTGTTACACGTTAGTTGTAACTTGTCGTATGTAGTTTCAGTATGTTTATATACATGCTCAAAGTCCTCGCTTGTTACACGTTCGTTGTAACAGTCGTCGATGGGTTTAGTGCGTTTATATAAATGTCTATATATCTATGCACACACACATATAATATATACGCTCAAAAATAATCGAGAGTCCATTGGTTGTTTCTGTTAGACATTGATATTTTAGTATGTGTATAAATTTTACATACATACTCAAAGTAATCGATGGTCTTGTAGAAAAAAGTTGTCCTTTACAATATTAAAAAAATGTTTTGAATCAGTAAATTTTCCTTTGAAAAATGCTTGAAAAAGCTTTCTAAGCCTAACTTAACATTTAGATATATTTTTATGAAGAATTAGAGATCAAAATGGATTAGAACTATAGTAATTTAAAACAGTGGATTGCTTTCAATCATAAGCAATTACAAATGAATAATAAGCTGTCTAAACTGAAGAAAATAGCAAAATCCTTGGGTTATTTTGTTCCAGACACTTTAACTTAACCGTGTAAAGTTTTAACTGTAATTTGTTTGGCATGTTGTTAAATACTGTGTCCAGGTTTCAGCCGTGTTTTAATCTAGAGTAATTTTAATGTATTCTCTGATTAATTACGATACAAAAACATATTTTGTTCAATTTGAAAATAAATAGTTTGAAAGACGATGTTAATGCCACAGAGGGGTTGTTGGTAACCACAAAACCAAAACTGTGGATTAATAACTATGATGTTAAGTACTTCCATAATGTACATAGTAATTTCTACCAAAGACGTGGATAAAAGAACATATGTAATATAAAACTAAAGTCTGGCAATTCTAGCTTAGAACATGCTTATCTTGGAAGCAAAACTTTTAAAAAGCAAAAGTAGATTTAATTTATCTGTTTGAAATTAAGTATGTGATAAAAATGTTTAATAAAATGTTAGAGTAATGCATATAAATACAAAGAAAAGAATTAATTAGTACTTTATCTAATCACTGATGCAAAGATTTGTTTGAAGAATATATGAAGTATATGTATTTTAATATTCCATATATATAATCTTCGCTGACTAAACGTGTCCTAATATCTATAAATGAAAGATTTGATCATAATAATTAATATGTATTAAATATAGTAAAGCAAAATTTCTCATTTTAATGATCACAAGATTACAATGTTATTGCTTCTTTGATATATATATAGTTTAATGAACAATTATTTCTTACATATATGTTGAAATACTAAAAAAGTTTAGAGTATAAAACATGTCCTTTTTTCGTCTTTATTCTCTTTTAAAATTAATTAGTCAAAAACACAACAAGAATCTTATGGTACTTCAATTAGAACCTATGACAAAATTTTTCAACATTAAGTTCATAAACTCCTTCTTTTATTTGACACCTATGGGTTTGTTTGTCAAATCACAGTTAGGCTTTTTGATCTTGTGTTTCTCAAAGCAGTCTGAACGCGCTTTGGAGAATTTATCATTTACTCAAGGGAAAAGTCAGAGCACGTATTCGTTAGATCTATCTAACAACATAACGACATAAAAATTGGAGTTATTGTACTTACTGAAGTCATCATGTGAACCCACAGCACGGACTTACTGTTATGATAGGCTTGTAAAAAACAACAACAAACATAGCTAAATAACAGGGATGACGAATGCCATTAATGTCATCATGCTAAGAATACATTCTAAAGTGAAGATATTCTGTGAATTCAGCTCCATTTTCTGCACCAGAAAGAAAACAAGAATTTGTTCAGAATGGGGACCATATGTTTAATATTTTTCCATTTTCAATAAAAGTCATTTCTACTTTTTCAGTATATTCATTCCTAAAATATTTAGTTGATTTGTTTCATGTGTTACTATCTCTACACACTTTGGATAATTCACTTTTGAACGCTAAAAACAAAACATAATCCATAGTATCCGCTTAAATATAATATTATATTAATGTCTACGTTATGAAACCAGTTCAGTTAATATAATTTCTAGCCTAGTATAAATAACCTCGAAACTTTAATATATTGAATTGAATATTAATGGGAATAGTTTTGTTGTTTTTATAGCCAGGCTCTCAATTACTCTCTGGTAACTGTATACAAACATAATATCATTTGCGTGTAATTTTTCTACTTTACTCTTAACTGACAGCAAGAATCTTACATTAATAGGTTTACGTATATCTTTTAATTCATTTTATATAAATTACTAGTAATTTATATTTGTATAAATTTATAGAAATGTAATATGTATTTGTAGATTCAAAAATTAATATAAGAAAAAAAACGAAACATTATAACCAGAGCGCTTTCGAAAGGTCAACCTTTCTTCATCAGGGGCAAACTTTTGAAGAAAGGTACATCTTTCGAAAGGTCAACCTTTCTTCATCAGGTACATCTTTCGAAAGCGCTTAAATTATAGGGTTTTGCATTTTTTGTCCATGAAACACTATATATAGATAATATATAAAGTGTGTGCTTTTACGAGTTTATGGATGGAATTCTCGAAAAATGCTGTAACTGTTGTATTTTTGGTCTATTAGATTCCATTTTAAATAGAAAGTATAAAATATGCATAAATGTTGTACGCAACACTCTCTATTTGGGTTAAAGAGACAAAAAAAAGTTCATTTACTTCTTAGCTTTCGCACTGTTGAACAGACCTTCGTTAAAAGAGTTGTTCATCATCCGAAAAACACCTTTTCTGTGGGTTCATTTTAAATAAATATGTTTAGAGAAAATTAGTTGTACGAAATTATTTCTAAGGTCCCTAGGCGGCGGAACCGGGAAGAGCACTAGAGGTACTTGCCCTAATTTTGACCCAGTAACGAAATACCCCTTTGAGTTGGGAATAAAGACATGAATTCAATGGTCAAGGTTAACATAGCAAATAAGAAAGCCTCAGTCGTCAGTGTCCCTAAGTTTACATTTATTTTCCGCCTATACTTTTAGCAGATTCTTTACTTCGTTCTCATGTATAACTGTTCTGCACTATATTATTATTTCCTTCTGTCTTCAGAAATGTTTAAGTACCTTGGACCTCACGTCGCTAGGTGTCGGGAGTTGTGTCGGAACAGGCATGTATCTAGTGGTGGGTATGGTAGCTAGAAACGTAGCAGGTCCTGGAATTATTCTTTCATTCATAATCGCTGCCATAGCCTCATTGTTTTCTGGTAAGTATTGCCATTTCTTAACATATGTTTGTGTAACATTTAAAATATTGATTAACTAAAAATATATACATCGGATTTCATATTTTAATTATCTAATTTATGCTGGATTAGCAAATAATTTTAGTAAGTATTGGAAAAAATTAAAACTCGAATTACGTAATCAAAATTATTAAAGATATTATTTTAAGTTTTAAAACAATAGCGAAAAGATGATGTTTTTGTCGTATAAGTTCTATTAACAATTATAAATAATATTATCATTAATGTATGGGGAAAGGGTGTCATAGGGAATTCGGTGTTTGTTTGTCTTAGAGCAAAACCAAATTGGGCTATCTATTGTATCCACCGTAGGGAATCGAACTCCAGATTCTAGAGTTGTAAGTCCATAAAATTATCGCCGTACCACCGGTGGATTGCTGAATTTGAACAAGAACTTTAGCTAATAAATTACATCTTTGAAGGATTTGGGTATTAGGCGAGCACTTAAGTGAAAAGAAACTGCCAGTCAGGTCAATCAAATAACACAAGTTTGCTCTTCGTTCGTTATTAAACAGGCTTGACAGAAATTT